AACAAAATTGACCACATCATAGTCAATCGATGGTTTTGCCTGACCAATGTTGCTGCTGTCCCAAAATTTCAAACAAGATCGGACCACTGTCTTCTTTGAGCAAAATTCTACTTCATGGAGCGGGCAGAAAAGGCTGCAAAGTTTAAGAAGAAACTCCCAGAATCACCACCAACTGAGAGCTCTTTGGCACTGTTGCGGCAACATGGGAAGATGCTATCGTTGATGAGATCAATGAAGACTACGATTGACTGGTTCAGCACTTCTATGATTGTGAGAGGAATGCCGAGAGTGAGAAAGCCACAAAAAGACTACTGTCTTCGAAAACTCTCTAGCTCACTTGCCAATGTGGCTTGGCGAGAACCTCAGGCAACCACAAGCGAATGTCCGAGCTCACAAAACAGTGCAGAGAAGCAATAAAGGAAGATCTCAAAGAGAGAAGAGCAGCATTGCTGGCCAATGCAGCAGAAGCCGGGAAAAGTATTCACAACGCCCACTTGTCATTCGCCAACCTCAAGACCAAGATGACTTCCCTCTGACGTCCTGATGGATCTATCACATCTCCCAGAAGGGCAATGGAGAAGATTATCCATGACTTCTACTCAGATCTCTTTGATAGCCACGTCCACCTGCCCACATACCAAATTCCGCAGGATGGATATGTCATTCCCAACGTTTCCCTTCCAAAATCCGACACGCCATTTCGTTGGTAAAGAAGTGAACAGCACCCAGCCCAGACAAGATCAGACCTGAACACCTGAAGAATCTGACGTCAGTACTCGTCAATACACTGGCTCGGCTCTTCACAAGCTACCTGTCTGAAAGCAAGATTCCTTCACAATGGAAAACCAGCAGGACCATTCTACTGTACAAAAATGTAGAGATCCATGACATAGGCAACTATCACCCCATCTGCCTGTTGTCTGTTATCTACAAGCTGTTCACTCGAGTCATCCTGAATTTTAACTTTTCATATGTGTAGATAAATGTTACTCCCCAAATTAGGATGGATTTTAGCTATTAGTTCAGCAGAGATAATGTCTAACATTGGTAATAATTCAAATTTTATTTTTAGCATTTATAGACCCCTTTTCTCTTGCCTTTACTTCTAGAACTCCAAGTGTGTGTGTGTGTGTGTGTGTGTGTGTGTGTGTGTGTGTATCAGAAGGCATTGTACATTCTCTGAGACTTTTTACTTATATCTATTTTTCTTTATTCTGTTCATTTACTGGCTATTTTTATTAGCTGTTGAGTATCTCTAGTGAAATTTGGGTCGAGGTTGGGTCATATCCAATTTTGTTCAGGGCTTACACCTGGATCTATGCTTAGGATCATTCCTGTAGGTGTTCAGGGGACCATATGTAGTCCCAGTCATCTAACCTGGGTTGGCTGAGTGCAAGGCAAGTGACTGACTTACTCTCTCTCTGGCCCCATTCTAGTGAAAATTTTGCTTTTGTTCTTGTTGTTTTCAACTCATTTGTGTATGTCTCATTTCTATGACATTGTTGTTATTCTCTATTTGATGAGAAATTGCCTTTATTTTGCTCATATTTTCCATTGGGTCTTAAATATATTTTTAAAAATGTTTTTAAAGTCTGTCAAAAGACATCCTATGCCTTGGCTATGTTAGAAAAAAGTCTATAGAATTTCCCCCCTTCGAATGGATCATATTTTATTATTTACTTGTGTGCCCTATGTTTTTTGCCTCTTGTTATTAAAAACAGATAATTTCAGTAATTATATGTGTACCCCTCTCTTGAATGTGGACACATTTATAGTTGTTTGTATAGTGAGTTTTCTGAACAAATTTTGTAAACTGTGCATTCTTTGTCCTCTATGGTTACTAAACTCTCAAATGAAACAGATTTACTTAAGTGCCATTCACTTAAATGAAACCGATATAAGTCTTAGTTATTGAAGAGACGCTCATGGGAATATTGAGGCACAGTTCTGGTACTGTCAATTGAACTTTTGAATTGCTTCAGCTTCTGCTGTAGTAAGCCTCATATCATTTTGGGATGATGTTACATGGACTTTTCCGTTCCTGAGCCAGGTGTACATTCTTAAGGATGTAGTCCATTTTCTTGGTTCTAAAAAGTCTATCAGATATTTTCAAAACTTCAGTAAATGTGTCTTTAACAAATTTATGTTTTTAAGATTCTGTTATATTGTCCCACCATCTATTATTCAATACCTCTGGTATCTGTGAAATTTATCAATTTTCTGTAACTGTTTTGAAAAATTCTTCCAACTGGAAGGCTTCTCTTAGTGGCTAAGATCCAAATCCTTTAAATTTAGATCACTTGTAAGTGGGGTTTCCTAGAAACTCATCAGACAGTACAAATTATTATAACCACCTGGGGAGGATCCTTGTAAGACTGACATTCCTCTTCTGCTCTTTATAGTGGATGGGCAGACTTTGTCTTTACTTTGATGGCAAGCTGTTAACTTTCAAAGTTACCACAGAGATGGAGATGGAATATTGAACTATAATCACACTAATATAATTTTTCTTATTGAAACCCAGCCAATTTTATTGAATAAATGTTCTCTGGGTTATTGAAAAACTTTGTAAGTTTCCAGAATGATTAAAACTTGAATTCTGACTACTTTAGCCAGAATTTTTTTCCTTGTGGTGAAGAAAATGATTAGATTTTCATTTTGACATTTTTCTGTAACCTAAACTTACTATATATGTGCACATATATAGTATTTTCTTACTATTCATTATAAATACTGCTAGAAAAAAATGTTACTGGCATTTTTAATTAACAGTGATGAAAAACATTGCAATTGGTTTTATATTAAAAAACTATAGTGTTTGTGGAAAACTATGAAGAAAAGTGTGGCGTTGAGTCTTACCTTCTGGTCTTATTCTTATTTATGCTGTTGTTATTGTTATTTCTTTCTCCCTTTCTAATTGGAGTTGATGACTTGTGTCATCAGGAGAATAACGTGGAGGTGATGGTGTATGATATCTGAGACTAAACAAACAAAAACAAACATGACCTCCCGTTGTTCATCAATTTGCTCGAGTGGGCCCAGTAACGTCTCCATTTTGAGACTTGTTGTTACTGTGTTTGGCATATTGAATATGTCATCGGTAGCTTGCCAGGCTTTGCCGTGTGGGCGAAATACTCTCAGTAGCTTGCCTGGCTCTCCAAGAGGGGCGGGGAAATAGAACCTGGCTCAGCCAGGCTGACTGGGCACAAGGAAAATGTCCTACCCCTGTGCTTTTGTCCCAGCCCATCTGACACTAGTTTGTAAAATATATGATCACTTCTACTTGGTTCTACTTGATTATACATGGGAAAGTCGGTTGCCATGTTGTGAGGACTGTAAAGAATACATATACAGAAGCCCGTGTGGGGAATAAATATTTTGTCAAAAGTCAGCACCAATTTGTCAACTATGTGAGTGAGCCACCTTAAAAATAAAATTTTCAGACCCAGTCAAACATTTCAATGACTATAGATCATGGTAACATCTGACTAAACCTTACTCTCAGCTATATCTTTCAGACTACATTTTTACTGGACTCTTGACAGATAGAAATTATGAGATAATGTTTATTGTTTTAAGAATTAAATTTTTTGCATAACTTGGTTTTTAGCTATTCACACAGTTAGCTGGAGCGATAGCACAGCGGGTAGGGCTTTTGCCTTGCACGCAGCCAACATGGCCGACCCGAGTTCGATTCCTCCGCCCCTCTCAGAGAGCCCGGCAAGCTACCGAGAGTATTCGATATGCCAGACACAGTAACAACAACAGTAACACAGTTAGCAATTAAAATCAATTATCTATAAGGAAGCAAAAGAAACTTCGAGAAGATTGATTTGTTTTTTTTATTTATTGCTGAGAAAATACAAATAGTAATGTGGGTTGTTTTGCTTCCATCAAACTCTCAAGGTTATAATTAGAAAACAAAAGAAGACTAATTATAGCCATTCTCTATTCATATCTGAAAATGAATAACTCCTTACCAATCTAAAAATGAGGAAATAAATAAAAATCATAATCTTACTTATGAGCATAGTTACAATGACTAAAAATTCTTGTTGACAAGTAAAATCTAGGAGCTATTATTTTTTTTAAAAACAAAATCATGATCCATCTATGAAGCTAGAAAACACCAGAAATTTTGATCTTAGCTACTGACATCTAAGCAATATGAATTTGAGTCAATATTAAATTAATATTTTTATTTACATTTACAGGAGTCTCCTGCCTCCGTGCCTGGCTGTCCTCACCGGGGACCCTTGGAGGAGGGTGGGTTGAGTTTCCCTCCTCACTCCCAACAGAGCCCAGGAAGCTGAAGACCTCTGGTTCCAGCCAGAACAGCCATGCTTAAGACCACTCTCAACACGTTTAGATGAGCCTCACGCATGAAGAAACTGGCAGAGGAACCCAGGTGTGCGGGACCCGGGGCGTACATTTCCAAGCCTGCTCGGATTTGCACTGGGGCCTCCTCCACCCAGATCCCCCATCTTTCAGGCGTTACACCCACCAACTGCCCCCGGTGCCGTGTAATCCCATCAATGGCCAAGACCCAGAGACTATAAAACCCTGCTCCCGGAAGCAAGCGCCTGCATTCGTGGCTACACGACATCTTATTATGTAGGTTTTATTCTCTGGAGAACCTGGCAGGCTACCAAAAGTATCCTGCCCACCCGGCAGAGTCTGGCAAACTCCCCATGGCATATTCAATATGCCAAAAACCAGTAACAATGATGGGTCTCATTCTCCTGACCCTGAAAGAGCCTCGAATGTGGCACTTTTTAAAATCTCAAGGCTAGGATGAAGGAGACATTACTGGGGCCTGCTTGAGGCAATCGATGACCAACAGGATGACAGTGATAATTTACAAATCTTACAAATATTTCTTGTTTTTTCAACTAAGAAGGAGTGCTTTGTTGCATAAGTATGCAAGATGCAAGAGCTAATTTTGTGTGTGTGTGTGTGTGTGTTAATTTGCTTTATCAAATTTTGAAGGCATAACATACCTGCAAATAGCGAACAACTCGGCAAACCAGGTCAGGTGCCATGAAGTCTCCAGTGAATCTCCAGATGATATCAGTCAAAATGTTGACCAGCCCTGTGAAAGAGTCTAAGAGAAACACATACATCATTAATTTCTATCTCTTCCAAGTTTGCAACTATGGTACAGTAGAAACAGTTCCTGTGGAATTTTTTTCTTTCCTGATTTATCAGGTGGTTATTAACTAAATTAAGACATGGTAGAGTTCTTTTAATTTTAGACTTTGTAATTTTAGACAATGTTATCATTCTAATGCACCTTCTGGATTACTTCACTTAACTTGATAACCTCTATTTCCATCCAAGTTGCAGAGAGTTTTGTGATTTCATCATTATTTGTAGTTGCATAGTATTCCATTGTGTATAAATGCCACATCTTCATAATCTAATCATTTATCATTTTACACCTAAGTTGATTCAATATGTTAGCTATTGAACTCAGTGCTGCAATGTATAATGATGACCATATGTTCTTTTGAATGAAAACATTCATTTGTATCCTTGGAGTAAGTACCCAAAAACTGAATTACTGGGTCATATGGCAGTTCAGGTCTTACTTTACTTATAAATCTCTATAATGTTTTATACAAGGGTTGAATTGGTTGAACAACACTCCCCCAAGCAAAGAATCTGGGTTTTTTTTGCCATATGTTCTCCAACACTGTTATTCAAGTTTTTTTATGTTTGTTTGCTCTTGATATGTGCAATTCTCACTGGAGTGAGATATCTTATTGTTTTTATTTGGATTTCCCTAATAATAAATGGTATTAAGTACTTTTTCATGTGCCGTTTGGCTATTTGTCTGCCTTGTTTAGATATGTTCCTATTCATTTCCTCTCTCCATAATTTGGTAGGGGTTTGGGATTCTTTTGTTGTTGTTGATTTTTGTAAGCACGTTATAAATACTTGGATAGCAACCTTTTGTTTGATGTTTGAGGAGTAATATTTTCTTCCATTCAATTAGGTGTCATTTAGTTTTAGCCTGTGGCATATAGAATACCTGGATGAGGGAATGAAAGGTATTAAAGGGGGAATAACTCAATCACCCAAAAAATTATAGGAAGGAGATGGAGAGAAGGAAAGAAGTCAAGAGTGCCTAGCATGAAGAAGCAGATGGGAAGTAATGGAGTCAGGGATCAAGGTATAGAGGGGTGGAATAGCTATATGTCCTGACTGCAGAGTCAATGCACTGAAAGCAAAGGATTCAAGCCACAACAGCCACACTTGTTGATATAATTTGCAGTTATTTGTTTTATTGTGGTCTTTTTGTTAAAGAAGAGCAAAAACTTAAAATCACGGTATCATTTGGATAGAAGTTTATTAGTGTAAGAATAGGAGGGAATCCATCATCTCAACAAGGTAAAAGGGTTCAGTGTATACTTTCAAATGCATTGTCACTGTGGTATAGAAAGGTCACCACGAATTAAAGAAAATTATAAGATGCTGAAAAAATAGAAGAGATGTTTCATGCATCCCTCAACTAACTTTCCCCCACATTGTCATCTTATATAACTTGTATTGGCTTCATTATTTAAAGACTAATTACTACCTTTAATCTAGACTTTTGAACAGCACTGAATATACTATTGAGGAATATTATTAGCCTGCCACTCTATCCTTGGCAAGATTATAAATAGTTAAATTATCTACATATTGACTAATCTCACAAAAATTATCAGATTAAATCTTCCAATTTTACAGAACTAAATGAGGGCAAAATATCCTCCTAAGATTTGATAACAGGTAAGAGACAAAACCAGGCTGGTGACCAAGACTGCTGAATGTCAGTGTCACTGATCTTCATCACACTGTTCTCTTTCTTCCTGCCTCTCTCCTTCCCTTCTCTCCCTCTCTCCCTTATTTCATCTCTCCCTTCCTTCACTCTTCCCCTTCCTTTTCCCTTCCCTTCCCTTCCTTTCCCTTCCTTTATTGTAATTCTATTATAGTTCACTAATACATTACTTTAAAAAATAATTGGAAATAAACAAAACATGTTTATCTGGAAATAAGTGACTATATGAACAATTATAAAGTAATGAGAATTTTCCCCCCCATCTGCCCTAGAGCTCAATCTTAAATAAGTCTTTATGGAGGAGTAGACTATGAAGGGAAGTCTGCCATAGCGATATTTGCTATTAAGCAGGTGAAGCTCCATCTGATCACTAAAAAGTCATTTAGTTATTTAAGTAATTGAGCACATTGCAAATAAGCTGTTCCTAAATGGTCATTAACAAGACCTTGGGAACAAAGGGTACACTTTAAAGATTTAATTGCTTCCATGTGTTGCTTCTGATTTTTAAAATTTGTTCAGTGAAAGAGTCTAGAAAATTATAATACTCAGAAAGCCAAACAGGCTCATTACTGGCTTATTGCTCCTTTGATCATTTCTTGCAGACTTGAACAGGAATTCCCATTTGGAGCAAGGATATGGGAGGGAAGGGGAATTAGTTTAGAATAAAGAAATGCCTGTGCTGAAACCAAAGGTTCGGTAAGGGTAGGTCAGATGAGAAGAGAATGAAGGACATTGGCTCCAGGTACAGATGACAGCATAAGCAAAGCTACTGAGGTGAAGCTTGGCGAGATAAGAAACTACATGGCTTGGGTACAGGACATTTTGACCAGTTGCTGCTAAAGTTTAAGTCAGTGTTTTCAGGAGCCTGAGAGAGAATACAGCAAGACACTTGCCTAGCATGTGACCCCTCTGTGTTCGATCCTTGATACCACTTCATGCTCTGAGACTTACCAGTAGTGAACCTTGAGTGCAGAGTCAGGAGCAAGCCCTAAGTGCTGCTGGCTGTGACCCAACAATAACAAATTAGTGTTTTTCATCCACCAGTTTATGGTCTGGTGCCTGTCTGAGGTTGTAGAAATGTGAAGGATCTCTGGTTTAAAGTATGGGTTTGGAAATGAAAGAAATAGAGCTAAGAGACATGAATCTTTTTGGGAATCATGTACCAAGTAAAGAAATTTGCAATTTTCCTGTACTGTGGGAATTAGTAAATGCTTATGTATTTAAACATGTGCTATGAATAAATTTCTGTAGTTACTGTGGGTGGGTCAATTTGGTAAATCCAATATTGAAATTACCATTTAGACTTGCTAAAGAAGAGTATAGAAGTTCAGGGAGGAGATTATTAGTGTTTAGTGAATAAATAAATTAGTGTTCATTGTATAAATTAGTGCTTATTGAATAAACTAGTGCTTATTGAATAAAAATAGGAATATAAAAAAGAATGTACATTTAACATACTTTATAAGATTAAAAAAAGAGGATTTAGTGACCAAGTACTAGAAATCTAAATGTGAAGGCAAGGAATGAGTCTTCTATAATTGTAACTTCCTGGCTTAGATGTTCCTGGTAAATGGTGGTTTGAACCACCATTTAGGTTACAGGAAGATAAGGTGATACAGATTACAGGAAGATAAGTTAATTATGTTTGTGTTATTTCCAGTTTTCAGCTATTCCAAATGGAATTGAGGTTAGCATTCATAAACAGAATTTCTTTCTTTATTTCTTTTTTTCTGTCTTGGTTTTGGGATCACACCTGGTGATGTTCAGGGCTTACTCCTGGCTCTGCACTGAGAAATCACTCCTTGGTGGTGTTCAGGGGACCATATGGGTTACCGAGGATTGAACCTGGGTCAGCTGTGTGTGAGGCAAGCACCCTCCCCCACTGTACTATCTCCCCAGCCCCAGGCTTTCTTTCTTTAGACTTGCAGTTAGGAATGTGATTGTTGAGTCACTAAGGTGCACGATTAATTTAGTAAGAAGCTTCCCAATAGTGTTCTAGAGTTGCTGTGTCACTGAGGAATCCTAGAAGAGTCTATGAAAAATATATTCTGTATCTTTGCTGGCCCTTGACACTAGATGTTTTCTTTCAGGCTGTTAACCAGTGGAATGGTCTTCTCTCATGGCTTAAAATTGATTTTCCCCAGTGGATCACTTTGTTGTATGTATGGTGACCCTCAATCCTTTGAATTCCTCTCTGAATGTTTTGTGAGATTTGGAGCAGAGGTCTTGGGAACTTGAACACCTCACTGTTCACTTGCAGCTGCATCTATATTCCTGGCAGTAAATGCCATTGTCAGTACTCACTCTGCTGGTGTTTGGTAGTCCCTATGTTGGCAGCCCTGTACCGAACTGGCTCAGCTTTCATTTTACATCTACCTGGATGTGTGGGTCTTAGGGTGAGCATTCAACTGTTTTAATTCCTTTCTACGTGGCAATCAAACTCTTGCCCCTATTTGTGGGTTATATGGGGTCCTATGGAGGAGTTTTTTATATTTCTCCTTGATTTGTGAACCTGCCAATTTTTAATAACTTCTCCCCCAAGAATTGAAGGATTTAATTTTTATTGTATTCTGTGCCTTTCTCTCTAATATAGCAACAATGTCTTACTTTTTATTATTATTATTATTTTGGGTTTTGGGTCACACCCAGTGATATTCAAGGGTTACTCCTGGTTTTGCACTCAGGAATCACTCCCTGGTGGTACTCGGGGAGCCATATGGGATGTCGAGGATTGAACCTGGGTCAGCTGCATGCATGGCCAACATTCTATCCACTGTACAATTGTTCTGGCCCTGTGTCTTATGTTGAGAAAATAGATTAGACAAAAGAGCCTGATTTCAACCTTTCTGTAGGCAAGCAATACCTTTTTATATGCCTGCACAGTCTCTGCATTGCCCCCCCCCCCAACTCAAGCAATGTTGAGAGGAAACCCAAAGGACAAATCTGTCACAAATGGGCCCAACTGTTTCTCAGCAAAGCATGACTTAGTAAAAAGGACAGCACTGGAGCATCATGGACACTTTGGTGGAAGGGTATGCAGTAACTCTGTGTATCAATACAAAAACTTACTGTAACCATAAAAAGAAAGTTAAAACAAATTTCTAACGGTTTGGTTTGGTTTGAGGATGTAGTTTGTCAAATGTTGGTTCCCCAAATCACTCCAAATGCCATATGGTGACTTGGGAGTCATCCTCTCTGCCTCCTCAGTCTGATCTTTCTCTTCTTATTTCAGATTCACTCTCTAAAAGAAACCATCCAATCAGCACTATCATATTGAC